GGACTCGTCGCAGTAAACAAAATAACAAAGCAAATAATATGCCTGGGGATAAGACACACATCATTCTAGAATTTCAGTGGGAGTAAATACTTACAAACCGTCTATACAGATGAGATATATAAGTTCTTGCCAAGAAGCCTAATGCCTAAGGGTATTTTCTGTCTCTGTTACAGAAGATTGAGTGACAGTATCAGATGTGGTTTTTGTTTCAGGGACTTATTTAAGCAGCCATCTCTTTACAAGGGATTCAGGCTCCAGCCGTCACTCTGCCTCCTTCCTTCTCTGACTTCCCTGAGCATTTAGGGAGTGAATGGCACCCAGCTGGGTATACCTGAGAGTTTGGCCTAATAGGAAACACAATGGCAGCAAGTTGAGTTCCTGGGTCTGATTCTGGGGCCTTGTGAAGCCTCCCAGGGTCCCCTGGGAGGCTCCGGGCAGCTCCCAGGGACACAGGCGCACTCCTCCAGGGTAAGAGCCCAGCTGGGCTCCCCAGCATTGCAGCAAACACCCCTCGTGTCTCTGAGTGCAGGTAAACTGGATTGAGCTGATGACAGGCTCAGGCCCTGTCCTTGTTCTTGGCTGACCAGGAGGTGGGGTGGATGCCTTCCCTTCTGGAGCCGTGACCAACTCAGCCTCTGCCGCTACAGCACAGGGCAAGGGGGCACAGTCCCCCGCTCCAGTAGACTCAAGGAACTCGGCCCCGAGGCTCTGTGGCCTCCTGACTGGGCTGGAATGACGCCTTTCCGCCGTTAGACAGCAGTGGTCCCCCTCTGCCAGTCCCCCAGTGGGTTCTGTTGGTCAGCCATGTCGGTCTTTTGTCCGTTCAGCCTCCTCTGTCCCCTTTTCGAACAGCACCTGGTTCCTCTGGGTGAACAACCTCTCCCTTTGGGTGCAGGAGTAGAGGGACTGTTAATCAAGATACTGGCCCTCGAGCAAGCCAGGCCAGCCTGGCACTCTTTGAGGGAGTTGGACTCTTGAGTGAAGTGTTGTGTGGAGTTAAAAAAAAAAACAACTGGTAAACATTAATTAACAACCTTAACAAGATGGCTGAGTTGGTCCTGGAGCTGCTCTGATTCCTGCCCTGGTTCTTGGGCTGTTTGCCAGCTCATTACCCCAGCCTTCCTGCCCTTTCTGTGAGCCACTGTGTACTTCATCAGCGAAGTCTCTTTTTGTCTAACCTAGATAAACTGGGTCTCTCTTGATGGCAAAGAGCCCTGATGGATACAAGGATGTTTGTTTTAATTTTCTTAGTTTGTTTGCTTATTATTAACACTTACGTATTGCATACAGGACCAGGTACTTTCTAAGAGCATAATAAATATTAACTCATTAATCATCACAATAATCTAATGAGCCATGTACTACTAGTATCTCCATTTTGCAGATGAAATCAGTGCAGGGGAAGGACAGTAGCTTGCCCAAGGCCACACAGGCAGCAAGGGGAGAAGGGGAGGAGCTGGGCTTCTACCCACATGGGCTAACTTCCGAGTCTGTGCTCTGGAATACGAGCCTGTGCTGCCTCTCAGTACAAGCTGATACAGCTTATGACACCAGAAATAACTAAAAAGAGCCACATGCAATTGAGACTTGATGGAAAATGAAAGCTATGACATGGATGATGTACAGCTATATTTATTGACTTGTGACAATGTCCATTACATATTATTAAGTGGAAAACATTAATTACTGCATTTTATGTATTAAGATAGCATACCCACTGCCTTTCCATTGCCTCCCCCTCAGCCCCCACCTCCCAAACACACACACATTACAAAGCCTTTTTCATCAAATTGTCAACCATGGTTATTCCCCTCACCTTGAGAAGACTATCAAACATTGTGTTTCTTTTTTTTTGAGACAGAGTCTCACTCTTTTGCCCAGGCTAGAGTGCCATGGCGTCAGCGTAGCTCACAGCAACCTCAAACTCCTGGGCTCAAGCAATCCTCCTGCCTCAGCCTCCCGAGTAGCTGGGACTACAGGCATGCGCCACCACGCATGACTAATTTTTTCTGTATATTTTTAGTTGTCTGATTAATTTCTTTCATTTTTAGTAGAGACGGGGTCTCGCTCTTGCTCAGGCTGGTCTCGAACTCCTGAGCTCAAACAATCCACCCGCCTTGGCCTCCCCGAGTGCTAGGATTACAGGCGTGAGCCACAGCGCCTGGCCAAGCACTGTGTTTCTTGATGACAGGAAGAACAAGGTGCAATAGCCCGGAGCTTTGGAGGGGATATCTTGACATGCTTGACTATTGACCCCTGAAATCTTACTTTTATGGCATTGTCTCTGAGTCTTTGTAAGGTTTATCTCCCACTAAATGCAGTGACTGTGACTTAAAAAGTTATTCAGAATACTCAACACCTTTTGCTTATCAGGCCCATAAACACTGTCATCCACATAGTGGACCAATGTAATGTATTGCAGAGTGTCCAGATGGCTATATTGTAAAGACATCAGAATTCACCTTGTTCTGGGACAAGACCATAATGTTGTCCAATCCATGCAAATGTGAACTGCTTCTTATCCTACTTCCTGCTGGATATTTTTTTTTTTTTTTAGTTTGTCAATATGGTGAATTTTATTGATTAATTTTTGGGTTTTTTAGACTTTTTTTTTATTTCTGCATATTATGGGGGTACAAATGTTTAGGTTACGCATATTGCCCTTGTCCCACCTGAGTCAGAGCTTCAAGCGTGTCCATCCCTCAGATGGTGTGCACCACACCCATTAGGTGTGTGTATATTCATCCCCTCCTCCCCACTCCCAACTGCCCAACACCTGATGAATGTTATTACTATATGTGCACTTAAGTGTTGATCGGTTAATACCAGTTTGCTGGTGAGTACATGTGGTGCCTGTTTTTCCATTCTTGGGATACTTCACTTAGTAGAATGGGCTCCAGATCCATCCAGGATAATACAAGAAGTGCTAGATCATTGTGGTTTTTGGTGGCTGAATAGAACTCCATGGTATACATATACCACATTTTATTAATCCACTCATGTATTGATGGGCACTTGGGTTGTTTCCACATCTTTGCAATTGTGAATTGTGCTGCTATAAACATTCTAGTGCAGATGTCTTTTTATAGAATGTCTTTTTTTCTTTTGGGTAGATGCCCAGTAATGGGATTGCTGGATCAAATGGTAGTTCTACTTGCATCTCTTTGAGGTATCTCCATATTGCTTTCCACAGAGGTTGTACTAGTTTGCAGTCCCACCCCTGCTGGATATTTTAAAAATACATTTTCCATACTAATAGTTGCATGTCACTCACCAGAGGCTGTGCTAATCTGCTCTCATAAAATTACCAGTTCTGGCATGACAACTGCAATTGGGGCTACTCCTTGGTTAAGTTTCTAACAGTCATCTAGCAGGAAGAACCACCTAGCTTTTGCAGAGGGCAAACTGCTGAATTAAAATGGAGGTGTAACGGAGACAACAACCCCTGCCTCCTTCAAGTCTTTGCAGGTGGCACTAATCTCTGTCATTCCCAGGAGTATGATATTGCTTTTGTCGCAACTATTTTCACCACTGGAAACCTCAATTTCAGGGCCTTCTGCTTGGCCTTTCCTAAGACAGTCACTGGTATCGTATAGGTTAAGGAACTGGGCAACTGATCTAGACTTTTCACCGAGGTGGCTGATAGCCTTCTGCTCATCTATTTTTCATCTGTTTTGATAATACATGTGAGGGAGATCCCCGTTGGCTGCCCATCTGTGTGGCCTGCAGGGGCCCCATACCCCACTAGCCATCTCCATTGACACCTACGGGCCAGGCCCCTGGCTGTGTTTCTACCATTGCTGCCCCTTATGGAAATTACTTTATCTTGCTCTAACAATTAAATGCTGCCACCTGGCCACTGTTAATCTGAAATTCTGTCATTTCCATTGCTACTAGGGAACCCAGTTCCATAAAATATTCCTACCATAATTCCAAACTGCAGAGGACAGCCATGGCTAAGCTTCTTAAGGATGCCGGAGCCCTCAGCAGTGCGTTCCTTCTCTCCTTCAGTTACTGTGTCTGTGCCCTCCTGAGGAGCTCAGTCACCTGATGGATGGACTTTCAAGTGTAGAGACTAGAGCCATTCTAGCATGCCAACTTCTCTATCCTTTGCACCCCTTTTCCCAGAGTCTACCATGGTAGTTCTGGTAACTCTACTTTCACTTCATTTAATGTGCACCACGGCTTATACTCAGCCTCTGTGAGCCACCTGGGAGCATATTAGAATCACACTTTTGGCCCTTGCCAAGCTAATTAAATGCTGTGGCAGAGAAAAGTGTCCCTGTATTGACAATTCTCCCTTATCCAGTTTTATATTTTACGTTCTCGATCCCAGGATCTGCCCCCAGATGCAATCTTCCAGCTCCTGCTGACACATATTGGCCAGGCTGCCCTGTGGCTCCTTTGCAGCATGCACCTTCCCTTGCAGCCTCGCCCAGGACTTGCCCAGTCGGGTTATGCTGAGAGGCCTCTGCACAGTCTTCACTCAAGCAAAATGGGGGTGGGGGCTGCTCTCTCTTGCACCAAGGGGGAAGGGGACTTTTCTGCAAGCCTAGTGGGTTCTGGGGGTATCTGGAGCTCAAGGTTCTCATATGCCTCAACCTAGATAGCCCCATTCTGAGTACTAAAGCCCTGATTTTAGCATAAGGGAGCATCCTGAGCTTAGGATTCAGTCTTCCCTGAAGTTCTGCCATTCTTAAGATTAAGGCCTGTGCCAGGCCTTCCTTGCTCTCTGCCTTCCAGCTGCAGGTATGAGTGTCTCTTTGCTTTAGGTTGGTGATTAATAAATAGATATAAGCCTGTCATTTACTCTTTTCAACACATTAGTGGCATTTAGCAATAGTTAGCAACTAGTTCTTATAGTTACTTCTTCTTCCATTTTAAATGCCAGACAATTGCTAGTATACCTCTTCACCTAGAGCTCATCCAGTTTACCTCAGGTGAAAGTTTGGGCAAGTGCATGGTTTTAGCACCCCTGGGACTATCAATATTCCATCTATCACCATTTGACTAGACAGTGATCCAACTAAGGAATCCCATCCTTAGAACTTCCCTTTTAGTCCCATTATCCTAGGTTGGGTTCCCCAGAAGCATTTGCCAGAGATGAAGTCTCTTAAGCAAGCAATTTATTGTTGAGAGTTCTCTCAAGAGAAGGGAGTGCAGGAAGCAGCATCACGTGGGAAAAGCTAAGCCAGGATGTGGTCACAGCTGGAGACTAGCCCCAGCCTGACTCATGGGAGCACAGAGTAGCATCACACCACATCCTTGTTTCTGTCTTGAGGCAGGGGCCTGGCCTCCAGGCCAGGAGAGCATAACCTCTAGGTGAAGCGGGCTCCATTTGTCCCCAGCAGTGCTCTGAGGAGCAGCCAACCCTCAAGCAGCTATCGGAAAGAGCTGGCCAGAAAAGGAGATTGTGCCAGCATACCCACAGCACGGCAGGGGAGCCAAAAATGCCTTCCCTCTCCCCTTCTCGCTTCCTTGGCTGGGCTGTGAATTAAATTGACATAACACAGATTAACCGGGGAACAAAAAACATGTAGTGATGTATGTACACATGAGAGTCCCACAAAATGTCAGACTCCAAGAAGGATCAGATTACTCAACTTTAAAGAATGGGGTCTTGGGGCTCCTGGGGGGAGGTGGCAGCAGCAGTTGTGGACAGGTGAGGGAAGGAAGGATGTGATAGTTACAGGCGGTCTTGCAGGATATAAAAGTTGTCTGGAGCAGCCCTCAGGAGAAGAGGTGAGACGTGGTCTGGGCTTGCGTCACCTCCAATCTCCTTCCTTGTGATGCGAGTAACCTTCCCTGGTTGATGAGGTTCCCAGGGAGGGAATTCATGACAACCGAGTTCCTTTTGGAGGATCCATCTTTGGGCAGATAAGGGGAGCTAAGAGCAAGCCCCTCCCTGCATTTGCTGCTCCCCAAATACCCTCAGTTTGCAGTAATCAGCAGCATGCTTTGGGGATACTGTTTCCTGAACTTCTTCAGCATCCACCACACCAGTCAACTGTTCTCATTTGTTTTCTGAATAGCAAACACTTCCTTAAAATTCTTCTCAAATTCAGCCTCCAGTCTAAGTCCCATTTGGCCAAAATTGTTGTACTGGAGAAAAATAATAAAGACAAAAATAATGATACTCATCACTAGTGTCATTAGACACCTTGCAATTGAGAGTGATCAGGACTCTTGTCTTTTTTAAAAAAAAAAAATTGATCATTGATAATGGTATATATTTGGGGGCACAAAGTGATGCTGTGATTTATAAATACCATGTGGAAAAATTAAATCAAGCCTAATTAACATATCTATCACCTCAATACTTATCATTTTTTGTGGTGAGAATATTTGAAATATATTTTCTAAACAATTTTGAAATGTACAATACACACACCAACATTCAGTAAGACTCTTGCCTTAAACACCAGTTACATTAATCAGGTTAAACTTGAAAACTCATGCAGCAAAGAGTAATTTCTGTTTCCTACAGGCATGTTTATTTCTTATTAACTAGACAGAAAAGTGAAACCATTACCACGGTTGGGGACTACCATTTAGTTGGCTTTTGTTGTTTATTTCTGTGAGAGCTAGAAAAGTAATCCGTGTTCTTTACAACAATTCAGATAGTGGAAGTGTATAAGGTTAGACCACTTCCAGAACCTTTACTTGTGCAAGCTTGTTACAGGAGGAGGGAAACTAAAACTTTCCAGGCGCCAGAAAATGAGGACCACTCAATGGAAAGGAAGTGAAACGGAAGCAGAAAGAGCCACTTACCTTGTACGATGCCCTGTGGTTCTGGAAGATGAGGCGCATGTCCCGCACAAACCCCTCCACCTGGGGGTAACCCTGCTCATTCAGCCTCTTCTTGATTTTGTTCAACCACATGGGTTCCTTCAGGCCTTGAGAAGCCTCTCTAATCTGGTGGCAAAAATACCGACAGGGGAGTTACCAGCGTCGTTCAGTGTCTCACCTGTGTGGGTTCCCATAAAATCCAGCAGACATTCAACACAGTAAAAGTAACAGCAGCTTGTGCTCTTGACCCCACGGGATCAAGATCATTTAACATTACAAGTCATGTAACGCCACGGCAGCCTGTAATCACGGCTTGCTAGTGTTACTTACATAATAATAATATGGAATCTTGGCAAAAAAGGAGCTCTCAGAACAGCAATAGACTTTCAGGAGGAGGAATTCACATTTCTGCAAAAGAAGGAGGCTATAAATGAAAAGCAACTTGGAGGGAATGAGCGCATATATATACCCAGGCAGAAGGCATGACTCACACCCATCTTCCAGAATTTTCCTCAACATGTGTGGCTCTTGGAAACAGAAATGTAACGGCTGAGTTACTTTTTCAGCAAACAAGTTGTGGTGTTATCTCAGTGTGATTGCAGCATAGCTTGGAAGAGCAGGCTCCCTTTGGATGCCATGCCACTGGCCCTGTGCCTGTTTGTGCTTCTCAAGTGGAAAGAAAAAGGAGAGGGCTGGGGGTTCACATCTGACTCACCAGCTGTTCCTCAGGCCCCATCTGCCTCTCCAGGATCTCAGACTCCTGATGACACCGTGGGCTTCCTGAAAACTCCCCCATCCTGCAGAAGATGCAACTCCACGGGGTCCTTACAGGTTGGGCATAAGGTCAGCAGAGGGCAAGGCCCCTGGAAACAGCCACTGTTCTTGTGGCTGCCACTTCCCTCCTTCAGGAACGGGTGAGGGGCTCTGCCATGGGGGCATACCTCTCAGAGTGCCCAAGCCCCCCGCATGAGGTCGCACACTGATGGCTCCCTCCTGTCAGTCGTGGCAGCAGGCGGGCCGTCCAAGGAAGGTGGTGCCAGAGTGGTGGCTCTCCTTTCCCTGCCTGAACTGCTGGGGGCACAAGGAGCCCTGCTTGCTGGGCGTGAGCATTGGAAACTGAGCTTTAACCCCCAGGGACCTAGGGGGTTCTGAACGACCGTGGCAAAATGTGGGACTAGGCCATGCTTCCTGTCTTTTCTGAATAAGCACAAAATATAAACAATTGGTGTTTCCTGCTCTTGAACTCCCTTGGGCAGGAGTTCCTGATGCAAAAGTTGGAGGAAAGGGCAATGACAATATGCAGGCAGAGGAGCAGGCCTGTCACCAGCCTCAGCATCCCACAGGAGGTGCCCCTGACAGCACAAAGTACGTTAACCTCCTGCTGCCAGCACTGTCACACAGCTCTCCGGATCATACTCTTGGGCCCCAGGACCTAAGCAGCCTGCTCCTTCCCCATCTAGACACAAGCAGGCACTCTTGGGGGACAGGGGGTGGGCACATGGCCAGAGGAATGGTCATAGAAGGAGAGGAGAGACAGGGAAACTGCATGTCACTCACCTCTCATTTCCCACAGGTGGGATGTGACAGTCCTCATGGAAGGCTCTGGAACAAGTATCACAGCAGAACAGAAGCCCTCCATCCCGGCACACCTCGCATTCATCCAGGTTTTCCAGCTAGAAGGTGAAACAACGTCCATGTCACTGGGATCAGTGAGCCCTTGGAAGGCCACCATTGTGGGAATCTAGAACATGTTGCCTTTGCATGAACCTGCACGGATGCTAATGTGCTTCTCCCTGGGATATTAAGAAAGAGCATGGAGTGCAGATTTCAGAACAAGACGTCTTAGTCTGCAGTGACGTTCAGGAGCAAGGGGCTGGATGTCCGGACAGAAAAGTTTTCCTTATAAAACCAGAGTCTAACACAAAAAGATGAGCAACAAAACAAGGTGATAATTTTTATAGGAATCTGAATAATTTTATTATCTTGCAGATAAAACAAGATCTTAAAAAAATGTCAAATCCATTTGCCTATGCCACAATGATGAAATTGACTCTTAGAAGGGAGACAAATAGAGTATTAAATATAATGGAATAAATTGAGCTATCACTGTATCCCACATTCTCAGCCATAAGTTCCCCAAGAGGTGAAGAAAGGGGCTGGGCAGGGATTCCTGGACTGTGGGTTCTGTGCCTATAGGGCTCTGGGCCTGTCTCTGGGGTGAACGTACCATGGGTACAGATGACCAGGTGGGTGCCAGGGAGCACAGAGCTCTTTGGCTCTGGGAGCCTCGGGAAAAGATCCCCCGTGCCTTAGCTGACTTGGCATGTAAGGTGTGGAGGTGCAATCAAATATGGCAGGGCCCCTTTCACGTGAGCAGCATGGGCAAGAAACTCTGGGGAATGTGGTCTACTCATATCTCCGTCTCACAGGAGCCCATAGCAGGGCTGTGGGAGATGTCCCAGGTGTGTACAGGAGAGTTTGAGCTCCCCAGCTGGGCAGAGATGCAGCTGCATCGGCCTGAATTCAACCAGAGGGTGGGGCGCTGCCCAGCTTCAAGCTCCCAAAATGGTGCCTTGGGGCTGTGACCAGAGAGGCTAGGTCCCTTCTCAGGCAGGCTATTAATACATTGCAGGAAACTGTGGGGAGTACATTTCGCTTAAGACTCAGTCTCACAGCATCCTGTTGCAAGATGGTGAGTATTTTCCTAGATGTGTGTTCAAAAGCCTGGTTTCCCTATCCCTCCCTAACTGGGCAGGAGCTGCAGCTGTGTCAGCCCAAAGTCAACATGAGGGCAGGTCACAGCCCAGTGTCAAACTCTCAAAATGGTGGCTTGGAGCTGTGACTGGAAAGGCTGGGGCAGGCAAGCAGCATGGGTGAGAAATTGTGGAAAATGATTTTCACTCATATCTCATTTCACTCATATCAGTCTCAACAGCAGCCCACAGCAGGGTTGTGGGGACCTTTCCAGGGGTATCTGGGAGAGCCTGGGATCCTCTATCCCTCCTCAGAGCCATGCAGTGGCTGCAGGTGTGCCCATAGGTTCCTGGCATCCAGGCTGTCAGAATGGTGCCCAGCTCAAGCTGCTCTAGGCTTGGATGTATGTAGGATTCCATGTGGATTTCCTTTCTGGAGCACTGTCTCTGGGCAATCTCTAAGCAGCTCCATGTTAGGCTGGAGACCTGCATGGTTTGGGGGGATTCTCTGGTAGCCAAGAGAGTAAAAGCTTGCCTTGGAGTGTGGAGCTTTGTGGGCTTCTCTCTTACTGTTTCCCCATGTCCAGGAACTTCTCCCAGCTCTTAGGCAGTCCCCAGCTGGGCAAGTTGTCCTGAATGCTCTCTTTACCCACTTTTGGTGCTTGCCATTGCTTCCCTGATGAATCTTAGCATTATCTCCCAGACAGTCTGTTTGAAATGTCAGAATCTGCTTACTATTCTATTTCCTCTCTATGGAAGAGGCACATACTACCTATATCTAGTCAACCGTCTTGATCAGTCAAATGCCAAAAAACAGAATTTATAGAGTGAATATGAACAGATCAATACATATGCATTGTGCAATATATAAATATATGTGTATTCATGACAAAGAACTGGTATGTGACTGAGCCCTTTGTTGTGTAAGGGAAAAGTGCCATAAGGACTAAAATTAGAGCTCAATATTATGTGCTTCCTGGACATCTAGTAAAATTGGGAGAGCCTAGAATGGCCTGTCCACAAGTTTCCCTACCAGCTCTGCTCCTGCAGATAAGGTCCCCTAAACACAAGGTTTCATCAAGGAGACCATGTGAAACTTCTGCTTATTCTTGACGAGCAGGTTTCAGTTCCCTGCCAGCCACAGAATTATTCAAACAAGCCAATCACAGCCTCCCTCAGGACCTGGGGGGCCCCCACCCTCCGGAGCCACTGGCTGTTCACTCTGTTCCTGAGTGTAGCCCCTGCATGGCCCTGTGTGGTGTGTGATGCCCACCTCCCCCAGGGGTATGAATACGTATGACTAATAAACTGCTGTCAGGCTCATCTGTCCGGGGTTAGATGTCATGTGTTCAATCATCCCCAAAACCCAGGGTGGGAATGGAGTAACAAATATTTAAAAATCTTGCATCCCTGATCTTTTTAATAAGAGATTTGATTCTTTGGATCTTTGGTTCTTAGACCAGATGCGCATTAGAATCATCTGGGGACAGTATATAAAATACTAATATCCTGTTCCCAACACCAGAGATTCTGAATCAATCAGTGTCGGTTGGGGTATAGGCACTGCTATTTTTCTTCAAGTCATATAATGGATAATTCTGTGTATCAGAATCATCTGGGGACTTAAAAAAAATCCTAGTATCCAAATCATATATAGTCTAGACTGATTAAAACAGAATTTTCTGTAAGGGTGGGAAGCAGGAAATAATATTTTTGAAAGCTTTTCAGGTAATTCCAGGTGGGAGGCTAACTAGAGATTTATCCAGAGCAAAGTCTGATTTTTAAGGCACGGGGATATTACAAGTCAATTTTGTGATTGGCCTTAATATCTGTCCCAGGAAAGATTATTAACAGGAATAAAGATATCTTTGCTGGAACAGTTTCCTTCTCCTTCCCACAGATTTTTGGTTGTGGGCTATGAGACCTAACCTCTATGTCCAGTCCATCTCAAACAAACTGCACAAATGCTGGATTCCTGGGCTGTTTTGACTACTGAAGACTCCCTCAATTGGCCAAGGGTCAAAACCAGTAAGGATAAGATTTAAATCTTGTTGGGGTATTGCTTTGGAGGTAAGGTGTGTGTAAAATATTTGACTCTCCCTTCTCTGTTGAGTATTATGTATCAATATTACTACATGATAGCCTATGTGACTGCTGCCCCCTGCAGTTGTGCAAAAAGCTGACCCTGCCTAAAATTTCCATCTCACTGCAATGAAAAGATTCAAAGTATGGTTTCATTTAGAGAGGAGGATCATCCATGATTTTGGCAGACTCTAAAGCAGAAAGCCACATGGCAAGCAAAGAAAGGATGGGGCCCATGGGATCAGAAG